TTTTTTTTTTTGTGGACCGAGGGATTGAACTCAGGCCCTTGCGCTTGCCAGGGAAGCACTTATTCCACTGAGCCATCTCCCCGACCCCTAAAGATATAATCTTGTCATGCACTGTATGAATGCTTTTTTAAGTACCTCAAATAATTTAAGGAATGAGGGCTGGGGATGTACTCAAGTGGTGCAGCCTAGCAAAAGCCAGTCCTTGAGTTCCATGCACAATACCAAGACAAAAAATACTCAGGAATAAACATACAGTGAATACATGATGATTCCTCAGTAATCACAGAATTATACTTTGGGCTGCAACTAAGCCATTTCTTTTGGGGATCGAACTCAGGACCTTGTGCTCACCAGGCAGGTGCTTATGCCACTGAGTGATCTCCCCAGCCACAACTAAGCCATTTCAAAAAGATTATCTTGGGTCAGATATGTCAAAATAATTCTTGGAGAAATATTTTTCAGTGTTTTATACTAAATTAAAAATTAGTAAGTTATATTCTTCTATTTATATTATCTTTAAGTGTCCTGCAAAGAATAAGCAAATATTTACTTCTATTAGTATATGTTTGCAATACATGGGCACATTCATTGTGGGGAGCTGGTACACAAACACATTGCCCCTTTCCCCTCTCTCCCTTCATCTCTAGATCACCTTCCCAACTGCAAAAGGTTTACCTATTTATTTTCTATCATCTTTTATTTTGTTCTTTAATTTACATTTTGAGAACCCATGTGACATTCAACCTGTGTTTTATTTTACTTAGTATTATGGTGTGAAGGTACCTTCATTTACCTACACGACTCAAATTTTTCTTCTTTACAGCTGAGTAATACTCCGCTGTATATATCTACATTTTCTTTATCCATTTATCTGCTAATGGACATCCTAAGATTTAGCTATTGTAAGTTGTGTTGCCATAAACATGGATATGCATGTATCACTGTAATACGATGTACTCTTTTGGGGAAGATACTCAAAAGAGGTAGAGTGGGTTGAATGGAATTTCTATATTTAGTATTTTAGAAATATCCATACTGATTTCCACAGTGAATAAATATATCTTAAAGGTCTCTTAAATTCTTGTGTGCCCAATTTAATTTATGAATGTCTGTAAAGATTTTAAATTTTTAAAAAGCACAAAACAATTTACAAATGTAGAAACTCAACAGTGTGATGTTTCATCTTAAGTATTTTAAGATCTTAAGTATCTTTTTTTTTTTTTTTTTTTTTTTTTTGGCGGAACCAGGGATTGAACTCAGCCCCTTGCATTTGCCAGGGAAGTGCTTATTCCACTGAGCCATCTCCCCAGTCTCAATCTCAAGTATCTTGACGCAATGTATTCTGATCAAAATTTAATTACATTATTTTAAATAACAGATTAAGGTGAACACTTTGCCTCACAGAAAACAGATAAAATAACTTGCATGGGTTTTTAAAAGTTTTAAAAACTGAGCTAGAAGATATATTGTTTACCTGCACATCTTCATTTGTGTACACCTGATCTCAGTGTCCGCCACTCTGTTACTTAGTATTATCGGGACGGCACACAGCTTGTGTATATCTGGAAGCGTGATGAAGAACAATGACTGCTGCTTAGAATCATTCATGTTTCCTGCCAGTGTGTGTCTCAGCAATCAGGCCTTTAAACACAAACAGCAACAAGAAATTCATAAACTTTCTTGCCAATAGTTTCAGTACCAATTCAACACGTAAGAGTTGATGCTACTGGGCTTGGTGGCACATGCTTGTAATCCCAGTTCTTGGGAGGCTGAGGGAGGAGGGCTGCACCAAGTTCAAGGCCAGCAGGGCTCTATGGTGAATTTAAGGCCAGACTGAACTATATAGGACGCTGTCACACACATAAAAATAGATGATTCTAAGTTAGAATTAATAAAAACAAATTAGTTAGCAAACTAGCATTTTATCTTGAAAGGTTTCTAATGATTACCTAGAATTTTCTGACTTAAATTTTATTAAGTTCAGGTAACCTAACATACAATTTACCCACTAGAAGGATACACTTTAATTTTTTTACTATATTCACAGTTTGTGCAACTACCAATACTATAAATTTTAGGACATTTTCATCACCTCAAAAGATAATTTGTGGAGGCTGGGGAGATGGCTCAGTAGAATAAGCGCTTGCCTGGCAAGTACAGGGTCTTGAGTTCAATCCCCGGTTCTCGGAAAAAAAAAAAAGATAATTTGTGTTATAAAACTACAGGTTAAAACTAAATAATTTTTTTAAAAAACTAAATAATTTATATTCAAATAATACAAAACATTAGCCTGTGTATTAAATGCCTAGTCTGTTCTGTGTTCAACTTTTCTACCATTGTCTACACTTAATAAATTCTTTTTACACTTCCTGACTTTCTTCATTTGATCTTAGCCAAAAGGCCGAGAAGCAATTCTCTTGACTAAAGTTTCCTTTTGTTTTTTAAGAAAACAAAATCTTGCCTGGTGTGGTAGCACACACCTGTAATCCTAGCACTCAAGAGGCTGAAGCAGGATCCCTGAACTGCACAGAGACCTTGTCTCAAAAAGACAAAAAGAAAAAAATCTTTCTTCTAACACTATACTTTAAAAATCAAAATAGATAACCAAGTTATCTATTATTTCAGGTTATTTCTACAAAGCAGTTCAAGATGAGGAATATATTTTCATTTTTAAAAAAAATGTTTACTGAAATATCTAACTTGTTATGCTTACTAAGATTTCTAAATAGTTTTCCACTAATTGATCTGGCTTTTAAAACTTTTGTCTGTAATCCCAGCATTTGGGAGGCTGAGGCAGGAGGATTCTACCAAGTAAGAGGACAGCCTAAACTACGTAGTGAAACTCTGTCTCAAAACAAATCTTTTATTCGGGGCACTTTGAGGGAGGTCTTTTTGAAACACGATGCAGTTCTGGCTGGCCCTGAACTCACTTTGTAGCATAGGTCTTGAATTCTCAAGGATTCTCCTGCTGGTCTGGAATTCTCAATTCCTGCTTCAGCTCTGGAGTGCTAGGATTACAGGCGTTCGAACGCCACCACGCCCAGCATTAGGCATAATTTATAGCTGCTAATTCACACCACATATCTTTGAATTTTATCTTATGTATTATGGAAAATTGGAATGCTGTGTAAATATAAAGCAACTTATTTGAGCTTAAGCGCGCAAACATACAGAATATGTCTGTGGAAGGTAACTTGGACTCTGGTACTGTGCACTTTTAAATATCAACACATTTTCTCTGGTATGCGATTCTAAAAAGAATCTCAAACGTCTAGGAAGAATCGCATACCAGGAATTCAACACAAAATCTCTTTTTAATTCCTGTCTACGGGACAGATTGTTTCCTAACACTTGGAAATGAAATTGGAAATATACTTCTAAAACGGAGTAAAGCTCCAAAGCCACCGCCTCCCGAGACACTGATGTACCAGTCCTCCCCACGAGGTGTGGTAAGCGCAGGGCAGAGAGGGCAGCAGAGCCCACAACGGATTCTCACTGGAAAGGATGCCACCCCTTTGGGACCGCCACCGTGCCTCAGGTGGGTCTCCTCAGCAGTCACTCCCAGCATTCCCCGGGGTCCCATGCCCCAGCCTCCCCTCGGCATTCCCCGGGTCCTCTCGGCATTCTCCGTGATCCTCTCGGCATCCCCCCAGCTCCTCCCGGCATCCCTCGGGCTCCCATTTTCTGGGCTCCGCTCGGCATTCTCCGGGCTCCCCTCGGCATTCTCCGGGTTCCTCTCGGCATTCTCCGGGCTCCTTTCGGAATTTAGCGGCTCGTCTCGGCCTTCCTATAGAAGGCAAGACGCTGCTGCTCTCAGGCTTTGCACTGTCTCTCACCTCCGTAGTAGCTACCTGCTTCCAGGTGTCCCCGCGCTTTCGGAGGTCCCATACTCCCAGCAGCACACCCCCCCCCCACACACACACACACTTACGGCTGACACCTTGTTCCTTGCGTGCTCCCTTGTTTTCTTCACAGGGTACCTTGGTGCTTTTCTGTCAACCTCAGGAGCCGCTCCCTTGCCCTGCTGTCCCTCCATGCCTGCAGTGCACCTAGCATTCCCTGAATGCCCCATGTTCATGCACACCTAACCCTATCATCAGCTTTTCTTAGTTTCAACCGGGGGTGAGTCTTTACAGGTCTTACACTGTGTGATCATGACCCCCTACAAAGAGGCATGGGAGCAAACCACACTTTAAATATAAGCTAATGGGGCTATTTGCATCAGCTTGGGGTTCAATTCCCCTAGGTGCTCGTGTGTTGACTCCAGACTTATATCATTTTGTAATATATTGGGCCCCTGTGGGGGAGACATGAATCTACGATCTCAGGATGCCGTTCTTGATCCCATCCTGTTTGAGGTTTACCTCCCTGGCCCAGCTACCACTATTGTAGCTCCATTAATTGTCATGTCTGCCCTGTGCAACTTCTCATGGTCCTTTAATGGTGCTGAACCTCTGCTTCTAGAACGTATTAAAAAGCTCATGACAGGTACCTCTCATTCATTTGACAAATACTTACTGAGCTTCTATGTGCCAGTGCTTTATTCTAGGGGTTGGTGATAGAGCATTAAATAAACAATATTTTCTGCCCTGGTGGTACCAATATGAAATCATTCTTGTGAGGTTCACATAAAATTAGAGTTTGGATTACTGAAGGGAGTGGGTTTTGGTTCATCTGTGTAAGTATCTTTTCAAGGTTCAAAAGGGGACATTATTTGCAGGTATGAACCAATTTCTGTAACAAAATGTATATTTTATTTGTGTGATGCTGGGCTTTGAATCCAGAGCCTTGTGCATACTAGGTAAGCAGTGCTACCACTGAGCCACATCCCCTGCTTTGTAATGCTTCTTCTCCTCCTGCTTCTTCTTTTTTGATGCCAGGGATCGAACTCAGGACCTTGTACTTACCAGGCAGATGCTTATGCCACTGAGCTATCTCCCCAGTCCCCTGTAATGCTTATCTTTCACATTGTCCATGACTACAGCATTCAGGCCAGATGTTCCCAACTGAATACATGCCCAGAATACATAGATTTCTTATTTTTTCCTTATAAACTCAACCTTTCTCACCTCTCTTGAATATACCCATACTTTACAATGATGTGTATATTCCCATTGCAGTGCTTTTTCACTTCTAATATTCTTTGGAGACTTTCTGATTGTTATTTGGGTTGATAGGAGTTGAGAGAAAACAGATAATATGATAAATGGAGAAAGTCTTAGTATGATAGGAAAGGCACATTAGAGAATGATAAATGGGAGGGAAACAGGAGTGTGGGGCAAAGGCCATTATTTTAAAGAGTGGCCAGGAAGGCTTCAGAGAAGTGGCATTTGTGTTCAAGTCATGATGATGAGCTGGTACATCCGGGGAGAATGCTGCAAGTGAAAGAGTAGGAGGTTAAAGGTTTGCAGGTCATTATGACGGCTGCAGCAGTAGAGGAGGAGAAAAGCACCATCCAAGCAAACGAAGAAGAACAGTCAGGAGGCCACAGTGGTAATCCAAGAGAGGGGATTTAGCTTGTATCAGAGTAGTGGCAATAGAATGACTGAAATGGAACTAGATTCTAGAAATTAGATGTAGTTAGATTTAGGTATGGATTGATGTGAGGTCTGAAAGGGATTGAGCATGTGTAATATGAAGAACAAAGTCTTCATATTACAATCTTGGGAGCATGGGGTGGCCATCAACTAAAAAGGGCAAGACTATGAGAGGAGCAAGTTTGGATATAGTGGTGAGAAGGAATTCACATTGAGTTTTGACATGTTGACACTGAGAAATGAGGAAGAAGAGCAGGGCATGGCTGGCGTGGTGGCACTCACCCATAATCCAAACACCTTGAAGACTGAGGCAGGAGGAGTGCTGTGAGTTTGGGGTCAGTCTGGGCTACAGAGTGAGTTCAAGGGCAGCCTGAGCTACATGGCAAGATCCAATCTCAAAATCAAGCCAAACTGAAACAAAGTAGTAGGACAATATATAGGAGAGGAGTTCTGTGGGAAAGGTCTGCATTTAATAATGAGCTTTTATAACTTGAACAGTCTTTTACAAGAAAAGAAATTCTCATACTTAGTCCTGGGATACACCCCACTCAAGATGACAGGAATAGCAATATGAGGTAAATGTGACTAAAATGTATTTATAATAAGGTGCTCTCTATATAATTATTGTCTGAAGTAACGGAGGGATTCTGCACTATGTCAGCAATAAACTTAAGACAAATATTAGCTTTGGGGTCAGGTACTATCTATTATTTCCTTCTACTTATTTCCTTCTGTTCATTTGGCCTGTGTAATCCAAGTGGTCAGTCTCTCAACAGATATACTGGTTTGGTATAAATATACACAGAATGAAAACAACTTCAAGTTATCGATGGTTTATTTTTAAATGAATTCAAATTCAGCAAAACTTTGTAATTACTGCTGATAGATAAGGAATTTTTTAGAAATCAACTGAACATGGTATATATTCTAGAGATATTTCTGGAAAGAAAAAGTTATACTCCCAAGACCTCCCAAAAGACATGAATATAATAAAAAATTACCTGGGGCCAAGGATTTGGCTTAGCAGAATAAGTACCTGCCTGGAAAGCATAAGGTCCTGCGTTCAATTCCAGATACAAATAAATAAATAAAAGTTAACTGAGTAGATACTTGAACTGGCATCTATTTCTGTTGAAGTGCTCATGTGGCAAGAGAAGCAGCTTTTTGAAGTTTTTTTTTTTTTTAAGAATATAAAAATTTATTGGAAAAAAGGAATAGGGAATAGGAATAGCGCCTGTGAGACAAGAGTCCTGAACAAGTTGCCCTTTTTTAAAGTGGGTTTTTTTTTTCTGAGACAAGTCTTACTGTATGATCCAGGCTGATCTTAAACTTACTATGTACTCCAGGCATCTCCAAATTTGTAGTGATTTTTTTGCCTCAGCCTCCTGAGTGCTGGGATTATGAGCATACCCCACAAGAAAACCAGCTTTCTATAGTTCATATGACTATTCATAGACAAGAAAGAGCTATGCAACTGAGTCCTGTTTAGAGTGATAAAAAGAATTAGAAAAAAGAATTAAAAATTGTAACAGTGATTATTTTTTACTCATAATGAATGAGAAGATGTAATGCT